GGACCTATATGTATTTATAACCCTCGGTTAACTCAATATATCTTTGCTAAGTACAATATAACTACTTTTAAGCCCCCCCGCTCACTACAGTGGTTGACATTTTGGCCCAGTACGGTTTAGTACGCTTTTTTGTGTCCGCACAGAAAGTATACGTTTTGTACTCGCTGCAAGCCACGCACTTGGGGTTTGGGACGATCGGTTTCGGATTTGCAGGATAGACAATCTGCAAAACAAGCCGTGACAAACAGATAAAATCGATCCGAACATAAGCCCAGACAAAGTAAACCGAAATAAAAAGTAAGCGAACTCATCTTGAATGTAAGCTGTAGCGCAGAATCGACAAACAAAAAGTGCACGTTCGAACCCACAGGTCACTAGAAAAACCCAAAACATGCTGCCTCGAACCGGAGGGCCCAACATGGGAAACCCTGCGTCGAATATCTCTCAGCCGAGTTGCAAGTGGTCTGCGAAGAGGAACACCAGCACGCCGCGCTGGCGCGGGAGAAGTGTCTTCAGAAACCTGACTGTTTCGGGCACGGCACAAACCCATCAAGGTCAGCAATTCCACTACTTCTCGAAGGCTTCCTGCTCCAAACTTGCACCCACGAGCTCCTCAAATTTGCCTCAGCCAACCTTCCCACTACGTCAACTTCACGAAACCTAAAACCACGAACTGAAATCGAAACAAAGGCTGAAGGCCATAAAGAAGTAGCAGCTGGTCGGGCTACAAGCCCTCAACATGAGGAATGAAGGATGCACAGTGTAATACCATTGCAGGTTTAGGGCTTGGATCTTCGTGTTCCATGATTACAAGGCTCGTAACCAAAGTACATGCACTTAGACTCTGGGACCCAAGACTGTTTCACAGTAGCTTTGCCCAATGGATCCCAATGGCACTTTGCTGCTTCGATCGTACCCAAAGCGCGACACACTGGGCTGTCTGCAGAAACAGCCGCTGCAACACGTAACAACTTTCGGAGTACCTAAACCCTAAACCCTAAACCCTAAATCCTAACCCCTAAACCCTAGGAAGCCTGAAACACCTACATCCCGCACCTAGCATGCACTTTGCAGCCGCTGAGAAGCTGAAGTGTGAAGCGAGCACAGGTCTGTGGCACCTGGCAGGTCACTCAAAGAGAAGAAGGCGTTCATGCAAATTGGTGAAGATGAACAGCTTCTTTAGCGTCATCCCGATGATGCCGGTACTCAATTTTTACGCTATGCCACCAATCCCCAAACTCCTGTTTCGGGGATGCACCAAGATAGCCAGGGCAACACATTCCGCCGCGGCCAAAACAAGGAACAGCATCCCTGTCAAAGGGCCCTGCCCCCACCTGGCATCCCGACTTTTCAGACTGCCTCAATTAATCTGGCATGAGGCGAAAAGATTGCAGTTGTCCCGAAGACGATCTTCTGTCGCCAAGACAGAAAAAACTGCATCGAACGAAGACACAACAACAGCCGAGTAGACAGAGAGGTGATAGATGGATAGAGGGACAGACAGGTACCGGGCAGACGGACATCTAACTAGTCCTGCTGTCATCGTCAGCTCGTAGGACCTCACAAGAAGCCCAACACTCCTCACGTTGCTGCCCATGAACTGACTACCCAGACCTTCCGATAAACCTTCAATAAAGAATATATACCCTAACCTGTGGTAGGATCCATAATATGATTTGGGGTCTCCGAAAATAGGGGACCCTAATATAGCACCCTAAATAGTAGGATCCCTATTATAATAGGACCCCCAAATAAGGTACCCTTTATTTTCGGAAACTCCCATTTAGACGTCTTCCTTAATAGGGTATGCTGTAAGATCTCCCTGGGCATTGGCTGCAAGCAGGAGCATGCTGGGAGCACCCGGGTGTAGACAAGGCTGTGCTCTTTTCTACCTGGAGGCTCATGGGTAGATATAAGTAGGGTTGTAAGTCGGGTAACTATAATTATAACCCATATTAGGGGACTTATAACCCCACTTATAACTACCCCTAAACCTCCAAGTACTATAATGGCCTTACTTACTTAGGGGTCCTACTACCTATACATAGGCTTGCATAGGGTTTGCCATATAATAGCGGCCTAATTTAGGGGTCCTACTACCTATACATAGGCTTGCATAGGCTTTGCTATATAAGGAGGATCCCGAGATATCAGAGACTCCCTCTTGGCAGGCTTTGGCAGTTGGGCACCTTCGGTTCCTTTGATTGATTTGTCTGTGCTGGAACCGTCAACCCTAAACTCTGCAAACCAACAACCCGAAACCCGAAACCTTGCAGATCCTTAAACCCTAAACCCCTAAACCTTGCAGATCCTGAAACCCTGAAACCCTAAAACCCTGACACCCTAAACCCTTAAACCCCTAAACCCTAAACCCCTAAACCCTTAACCCTTAAACCCCCAAACCCTCAACCCCTTAAGCCCTAAAACCCCGGCACCTGGCGGAAGATGTACCAAGTTGAGAGGAGCTGCGACCTCGGCGAGTGAATCCCGAGCTCCGTCAGCTTCGGGCTTGCAGGCTTTAGGGTATTCAGGGTTTAGGGTTTAGGGTTTAGGGTTAGGGGGGCTTACAGGTCTTTAGGGTTAAGGGGGCTTGCAGGTTTTCAGGGTTTTCAGGTTTCTACGGGGGCTTACAGGCTTTAGGGTGTTCAGGGTGTAGGGGGGCTTACAGGTTTTTAGGTTTAGGGTTTAGGGTTTAAGGGGGCTTGCAGGTTTTAGGGTTCAGGGTCTAAGGGGGCTTGCAGGTTTTAGGGTTTAGGGTTTTAAGGGTGGGCTTACAGGTTTTAGGGTTGATGTCTATGGGGTTTCAGGGTTTTTGTCGAGTTCAGGGCCCATAAGGTTTACAGGGTTTAGGGCGTGGTTAGGCCTTACAGCGTTCGGGGTTTAGGGTCTACGGGGTTTAGGGTTTAGGGCTGGTATCGTTTAGGGTTCGGGTCTCTGAGATTCTTCAACCCCTCTGCGCTCAGGGTTCTACGGGTTCGGGTCCTTGTGGTCCTTTCAATTTCGGACATCTGCGTTCCGGGTTAGACGGGTTCGGGTATTTGAGGTGCTTAAACTTTCAACCTTTTCATTTCGGCCCACTGCGTTCAGGTTTAGACCCTAGATATTGGATGCATCGCTGCTGCAGGACTTACCGCACCCTGCAACCTCCTTGCTGTCCTAAAGCCAGCTCTCTCTTTAACTTTAGGGTTTAGGAATGTGGGGTTCAGGGTATACAGTTTGAGGCTGCAGGGCTTGAGGATGTAGCGGACCACGCACTTTACAGGCTGGTTTCTCCAACAAGTGTACTTGGTGCACAATGAAACTTTGCTTCGGGGTGTTGCGCGCGTCATATTCCCGGCGGAGCTTTGGGTAACCCACATGGGAACCAACTTGGGCTGTAGAGGTTTGATAGTATTACATCGGGACTGCAAGGGGATACGACTATTGCCACGTGTTCCGATCCCTAAACCCTAAACCCTGAACCCTTAACCCTAAACCCCATATTCTGGCAAGCTTTAGGCCTCAAGGCTACTAACAGCCTGAGCAGATGCCCGGGGAAGTGAAGAGGGGGACACCAGATTTCCCAAACCCGCATCCTTCAGAGGCTCACAGAGGATCCTAAGTCGAAGAACCCCTGAGAACATACGAAGTCATAGATTCGAGGCATGTCATGTGCGGGCCTCAATAATTGCCAAAGCTATTTTGGGGGTTCCTTATTCTAATTAGAGTATATTAATATTTGGCCCCAAAACCCTATTGAAATTCTCAGGGCCCCTATATTATATTATTAATCTGATAGTCCGTCGTCAAGCAACCTGAGCCTCAACTCGCAAACCCAAAACTGACAGCTAAGCTAAGCTCCCGAAACCTCAAGCACTGAATTTCACATTGTACAAACCCACCGGGCAGTCCGACAAAGTTGGGATCAAGATGATATCCTCGGCTTTCTAGGCTGGCTTCTGCTCTGGAGGTACTTGGACCCCGAAATATGTCACCTTTGATATATTTCTTTTACTATGATTATGGTTATGACAATGACTAAAACAAACAAAACAAACAGCAATAGCTGGTATCATCACTAAATCCTGAATCAGCCCATAAGGCGGGTGCAAGAAGTCTCAGAGGGACACGCAGTTTTGAGGGTGCATACAAAAAGGTCCAGGAGTTTAGGGTTTGGGTTCATATATATATATATAACTAAACAAATAATCACAATAATAAATATAACTAAGTATGTACTTAAGTATACACGACCAGTTAGTTATACGTACATACACATACATACATGCATACATGTATACATACATACATAGATACCTGCATCCATATTTAGTTGTGCATCTATATATCTGAGCTCAGAACCGAACCTATGCTTCATGATTTCATGTACATGTGGAGGTACATTCAGACTCGAGCCGAGTGGTCAAGCCTTTGTTTGAGCCTTTGGGAGCTTTGCTAGGTTTTCGGGATGATCAGCATTTGCGAGGTCGTGCAGCAAGTAAGTTTAGATTTGCGTTCAGGGTTTGGGTTTAGGGTTGTGTTGTGGCTCGGGGTCAAGACGGGTCAACGTTGAAATGCCGTTGAAGCGCTGTTTGTAGCGAGGTGTACTGATCGATCTAGGCCTCTATCTAGGCAACATAGATACCTTGCATCAATGAATCAACATTCAGGGAAACCCCTCAACAACCCTAACCATAAACCGTTGATAACGGCAAACACAATGATGGACATCGTAACAATAATCAGCAGCATCGTCAGCGTAACGATGGCAGTTGTCATAATATTTTTTGAACGATAGGGATAACAAATAACACATTTTTTCATGGTAGTGCCACGGCAGTGGTGATGACGATGGCGACAGCGAAGGAGACCCGCAACATGCTGATTCGGACGTTGCTGTTGACGGAGATCTAGACTGACCTAATGCTGATGGCCGCGGTGTGTACTATCTGGAAGATGACGAGGCTGACGCTGCTGAGTGTTGTGGTAGCGACAAAGAACATATGAATATAAACATGAATATGCATATGAGCATGAAAGTGAAAGCGTAGCACTCATATGAGCTCATATGCACATATGAGCATGTACATCAACAAGCAAACACACAAACACATGATGTATACATATATATATATATATATACATATTATATACTAATATGGTGGGTGGACAAAATCGTGCATGACCCACAGCAAGAAGAGCATGACAAGTTGCCTGGCACACTCCCCTCACCCCTCTAATTCAATGTTGATGATGCAGATACGTGATGCAGGATTTCGTCCATTCGCCGACATGCATTTTGTAAGAGCGGTTTGGCATCAATACTAAAATCCAGGGTTTGGAAGGGATGGGCCGTAATCGAAAATCGATGCAGGATTTTGTCCATAAACAGTATGTGTGTGTATGTGTACATATGTATGTGTGTATGTATGAATGTATGTATGTATGTATGTATGTATGGATGTGGATATGTATGTATGCGTGTATGTGTGTATGTGAGTATGTATGGCTGTGTATATACATATTTTATCTATATCTGACTCCTAGAACATATATATATATATAGAACAGAAAAAATATATATATACATATATACAGAGTTGTTTACTTAGTTAGCTAGTTCGAAATAGAACTATAGATACACAATGCAGAGAGACATGCTCTGATACATGTTGTCGGTCTGTTGTTAAGGGGCACGCGGGTTGGGTCTTGTGTCGCCAAGGAACTGCTTCATCGGCAGTCTCGACGAACACCTCTGGTGGGGCGGTCAAGAACTTCTGCAAGAGGACCACTTCTCCTCGGTCCGACGCACAAACTTACCATGTGCTAACGACCTAGTGGGCTTGCAATCGCGACCACATGCATACACCCTTACCCAGCAGCTGCTGCACGATTCGATGCCGCAGTACGAGTACAAATATACATACATGTGTGTATATATATATATGTAAATGTATACATCAACTACTCGTGGCTGTTTCTACAAGTGCTTCGGCTGATAACCCTCATATGCAGCAGCGGCAGCGACTCTTTCTCCGCCTGACACTGCTACCAACACTGAATGATATGGTCTCTCCTTTGTTACCTTTGCTTCCCCACTGTGTCTCATTCTTGCCACAAGCTATGAAGCTACAAAGCCTACTATACCACTCTTCCTCCTCCTCCTCCTCCTCACAACTCCCACATCTATGTCCCGGCCCAGGCTCCCATATGCTGGCGCCAGGCCGACCATGCACCGGACCACTGAGGCTCTTTGCAGAGGAAAAGCCTGGCATGCGCTGGAGGTTCAGGTGCCCTGTTCTTCCTTTTGTACTGAGGACACACCTGCATCCGACAGGACTCCAACCATCGTACTGGACCGCGAGAGCTTCGCAAGAAGATTATGACACGAATGCCATGGTATGGAGCCGCAAGACCCCTCGCACCTGCAGTGCTAAGGTAGTGGTTCTGACGTCTGACAAGTTATAACAAAAAACAGGGTCGTGTTCAGATCGTTGCGTTATACAGCACTCCAATAGCCCTGCAACCCTAGATGTGGCCTAGAATTTGTGCTTCCTCTACGGTTATTCAGAACTTCCTGTTCTGTCCAAGTCAGGACTTCAATGGATAGACGTGCCTCCCAACACGTGGCATGGCGTATTGGGGAAGTGTACTGTAGAAATATAGAGGAAATATGAGGAGCTCAGAAAGGAAATTACGTCTAAATAAATAAAGCCCTTTAGAAACCGTGCGGAACCCTGCAACACGCTACAAGCGGCATTACCAGGCTATAAACCCCGTAGGAACTCTATGAAACCAAGTCCCCCTGCAACCCACCTATAATATAGCAATACTGCTAAACCCTAAACCCTAAAATACTAATACTCCTCAACCCTAAACCCTAAAATACCAATACGCCTAAACCCTAAACCCTAAAATACTAATACTCCTCAACCCTAAACCCTAAAATACTAATACTCCTAAACCCTAAATCCTAAATACTAATACTCCTAAACCCTAAAATACTAATACTCCTAAACCCTAAACCCTGAATACTAATACTCCTAAACCCTAAAATGCTAATACTCCTAAACCCTAAACCCTAAATACTAATACTCCTAAACCCTGAACCCTGAATACTAATACTCCTAAACCCTAAAATACTAATACTCCTAAACCCTAAACCCTAAAATACTAATACTCCTACACCCTAAACCCTAAAATACTAATACTCCAAAACCCTAACATACAAATACTCCTAAACCCCAAAATACTAATACTCCTACACCCTAAACCCTAAATACTAACACTCCTAAACCCTAAAATACTAATACTCCTAAACCC